AACCGTTATATGTGTAAAGATGAAACTTTCACCAAATGTGTAACTAATATTCATAACTCATTTCCCAAAATTTCAGCTCGATCCGTCTGGCGGAAAAAAAGTCGATTTTTCAAGCTCTCTCATAATGAAATAATTTCCAACTTTACACTATACAGTCGACAAAAACATTTTTTTCTTAGTCGTGTGAAAATTTTTAAAAATAGACGAGAAAATATTGATTTTTGTTCATCTAAAGATAAAGAAAAAGCCCACGTATGGCAAGGTGAAATATACTTACAGCTCCTAATAAATATGTTAAACAAATTCCCTTTTTCGTACTCGAATGTAATTTATGATCTTTTCTAACGAGTAGATCGTCTTTCTGAATGATGCTGATTATTAAAACGTGAAGAGCATTGCTTATATTGTCTCATATCAATTTCATCAATCAAACCATAATCTCTTGTTACTAGCACACGCCGAGGTGATGGAAAAATGCTTGTTTGTGAAGTAATATTCGGAATCAGCATCAAAAACGGCATCTAATGACGTATCTGTCAAGTGACTCGGTGAACTTTCATCTGTCGGTCAAAAATGCAAATTAAAAAATAGAAAAAAATGTCAAAAACTGAAAGTTTTCCAAATCACTTGAAAGGCACATCACTAGATGCAGTTTTTGATGCTGATTCCGAATATTACTTTATTTTCCATTTTAATTAGATTTAGGCTGAGAAAATTCGAAAAACTAGAAAAAGTTGCAAAAATCACCTCCACTAGGCGGTCTTGCTTCCCAGATTTCGCCATGTTCTGAAACTTTTTTTCCAAATTATTTAATGCATCTTGTACAGGATCAGATGCTCTACAAAATGCACGATAAGAGAATCTAGTTAGCAATCTTTTTATGATTCAAAATTGACTTTTGATCAAAACTATTCATGTCTTGAAAACTAGAAAATTTCAGAAAGCTCAATTTTTTTCTAGGAAAGCTCAACAGCAGAACATAATTAAATCAACCGTTTTCTTTAGTTTTATCAGGTTTTTGAATGTGATGCTGCTCAAACAGAACGGATGAAAAATGATGAAGTTATAGCGAAAATAGTAAAGAGGATGCTTTTTCAAGACTCTCAGACACCGACCATTTTGTAAATGCTATAACTCGGTCAAATTAAGTCCAAAGAAACTAAAAATTTTTTCATAACTCCACTTTTGATCGTAGAATTCAAAAATATCAAAAAAATATATGTTAATTTCGACCATTCCACTGGCTTCGGAAGCAATGCTCGACTGAGTAGTGAAGCCTCTCTTAAACATTAAATATAACAAATGGAATCGACCTTGAAAACTCATTTTCTTGAAATGTACTTTTCTTCGCTTTAATTTTATAATGTTCTAGAACTGTAGTGAACCACTTATGTCAGATTACATTTATAGATTCTAGTACAGCACCATGTGCACTATACAGTCGAGCTTGGTCTGCTTTTGGTAGAAAATTCATCCGACACGTACCAGTCATATTATTATGCTCAATTTTGAATACGGGCTGCACAGATGACACCATTCCTTCTCTAACTTAACAGACCGAATCTTCTAGGAAACTTCTTAGGTGCGCTGTAATTTTAGAATGAATTAACACTAATGTACCCTAGAGATCGATTCTTATATAAGAATTTTACCAGAAACCTATCAGCCTCGTACCTAGGCATGCATCAATACCAATCATTATTGAGAATATTGTACAATATTATTGGCTATCCAATAATATTGGGTCCCAATATTATTGTATACCGATATATTGGGACCAGTAATATTGGTCACTCAATAATATTATACAATAATATTGGGTAATATTGGGATCCAGAATACACTGGATTCCAACTTTTTTACCTTAATGTCATATCTTCATATAACAGTGAGAAAGCATGTCCCGATCGGAATATATATCCCAATTGGGATATAAAAAACTATCCCGATCGGAATTTGACATGCACCGGTTAATAATCGATATTAGGGCCTTCAGCAAAGTCGTTCTGAATCAGTAATGAAAAGGCACTTAGAGGTGCCGAATGTCTCATTTTGTAGAAAAATGTTTGCTCTGCCAAACTGAAGTGCAAAAGGGACATTTTAGTGTTATCTGTGGCAGAAATATAAGCATCCAAAACTGAGCAAAATTGCGAAAAAAGCGGCTATCGATTATTTTTCTGCGATTTTAGTGCGTTTTCGTTATATAACATTAAAATTTTTGTAGCACTTCAGTTTGGTAGAGCGGTGCATGCCTAATTGGGTTATAGTTTGATTCAAAACGGGATATAAAGCATGCGTCTGTACTTTAAAAGTAGGCTAAACTCAAGCGATCCAATACCCAATAATATTGTGAAAACCCAATATATTGGGCTGACCAATAGTATTGGTCCCAATATATTGTATTGGTGCATGCCTACTGTCAATCATGAAACTTGAAATCGTAATTGTGAATGCTAAACCGCGAAACTTGCTTTGCAATTTTGCTGGACATCTCTTCGTGCTGACATATGCTCTGTAATTACCATTACGAACTGTTTGCTTTTGAAATCGTTAGCACATGGTGAAGCTTTTATCTAACAAAGGTGAAGGGAGGGAAAGTCAGTTGAATTCACATGCGAAAAACAGCATTTATCTTGCCCCGACAGTGATCAGGTGAGTAGTCTGGAGATGTTTCATCTACAGCAATCTCTATTCCTTAATTAGGCAAAAAAATATACTGGTTCTACATACATTTCTTGCATTTTACTTGATAGATCTAAGTCTAAGCTTTCCATCTAAGTTTGAATGTCACCTATCAATGATACAACTGAAGAGCATCACTAACGAGCGAAGGTCCCCAATTGTCCAATCGCTTTTGAGCTGAAACTTAGTGGACAATAGGTAATCGAGGGTGCTGAATCCGAATATCACAACCGTTTGTGCCAACGTTGGGTTTTTGAACCGGTTTTCAGAAAAACCAGTTTTTCAAAAACTCTAAAAAATAACCAAAACCTTTCTTAATAAGGCCTGATTGTAGCCCGCAGATTTCTGATCAAAATGATACCTTTACCAGCTCTACATGACTTTTGTTTGCAAAGTTATAGAATTTACAAGAAAAGTTCTAAATTAATTTTTGCTTTATTTCTGTAGCTTTGAGCTGACAATGAAGATTTAGGGCTGTTTTTGTAAATTCTATAACTTTGCAAAGAAGGGTCATGTAGAGCTGATAAATGTATCGTTTTAGTCAGAAATCAGGCCTTATGAAGAAAGATTTTGGTTATTTTTTAGAGTTTTTGAAAAACTGGTTTTTCGGAAAACCGGTTCAAAAACCGAACGCTGGTACAAACGATTGTGATATTCGGATTCAGCATCTTCAATTACTTATTGTCCACTAAGTTTCAGTTCAAAAGCGATTGGACAGTTGGGGACCTTCCCTCGTAAGAAAGGAGACCGTAACATCTCTTTGGCTTTATCTGACCGAATAGCAACAAGGGCTAACGAGAGTGGATCCCAAGATGATTAAAACCTTTTGAGCCCATATTTTGCCCAGTAGTAGGAGACCAATAGACTAGAACAACCTTCAAGGGGTTCGTGCTCTTGTTGAAATTTGACTGAGATATTGAATTTTTAGATTAGTTTGTAGCTTTATTGCAATCATTTTTTGAAAAAGAGCGAAAAAAGGCGATCGTTAGCTGGACAAGCCGTCTATGATTAAGCCATTGACCATCAGTCTCTCTCACCATCATAACCTATGGATATGCATCCAAATCTATTTAATGATTGAAGATTTCTAATTCCATTTTCGAACAGTTAAACACACATTATGTACAATTTCAATTATTGCTGAGGATACTGTACTATGATTTCTAAAATTTATCAGTTTATTATAGAGGGTGAGTATCATTTCAGTATTATAAATTGTAATATCAACTGATAATAATGTTTTACTTTTAATAAGTTTAAAGCAGAACAGACTTAAATCATTTTCATCATATTCTAATTTTGTTGTTGTATAATCATCATCATCATCATAACCATATCTGAAGAAATATAACCGTAGACGTTCTAATTTATCGAAGTAAATGAAAACTTGACTTAAATTTACTTTTATAAATTTAAATGTTAATTGTAAACATATAATCTTATTGCAAAATGCTGGCGTATCACAAAGCACAGCTAGAGAATCAAATAAATCTGATGTACTAACACGGAAATTCGATGCTCTAATAGATAAACTATTTATATTTGGCATTAATCGTAAGATCTTATGAAAATTCTTCCAGGTTTGATTACTTGAATAAGATAAATCCACAAATTTAACGTTATTTAACGTTATTGTTCTTGTTATCATAGCACTGGAATTACTATCATTATTATCAATTAATTCAAGATCATTGATTTCAAGTGATCTAACATTTCGGTAATAGGTAGTTAATATAGTTGATAATTTTGAATAGGTAATTGGTGACGAACAGTGCAAATTCAAACATCCTATATTATTTAAACATTTTGGATTATTCATTCTATTATAATCAATTTCGTTAATAAAAAATCGAAATAAAACATCCTTTTCCATCCATGGCAGGGTGAAAACAAAATAAAAATTGTAAACCTGGCTATTATTAACAGCTAAAAATGTCATAGAATTTCAACGATATATAAGAGTCATTGCATGAGAGCCACGACAACAGATGCTCAATGACCACCTCAGATTCTTCCAGACTACGCTCATCTTACAGAGCATGTCTGAAAACCTAAAAATCCAAAGTTTCAGTTTCATCGGAACTTTGCTTCCAAAATTATAAGCAGTTTCCTGGAAACACTAAAACCAAAATTTTGGAGCTTAAAAATAATTTCTCCGTGAATACAAGGGATGGAAACGAGATTTTTTTACCATAAATAGTCTATGACGTCTTCTATCTGATGACATGTTCAGATCTTTTTTATCTTGGATCTTCAGTCGGAAACACGGATTTTCAGAAAACCTTGACGGTTCAACTTCTTTAGAGTGATTCGCGAGGGTTTCCATCGAGGAAGAAGCAAAAATGCTTGTTTTAGTGATTGGACGATGAGCTATTCCAATCTCTTTCATCTCTTGTATCACGGAGAAATACAGTTTTACTTTTCATGTCAGTTTCTAGGCTTCAAAATTCTGCTTTTAGTGCCTCGAAGAAACTGGTTATAATTTTGGAAGCAAAGGTTCGATTAAACTAAAACTTTGGGTTTTTAGCTTTTCAGATGTGTTCTATAAGATGAGTATAATTTGGAAGAATCTGAGGCATGCTCTCGTAGCACCTAGACGTATTTCTCATACAGTGACTTATAGATGTTTGTAGTCATCTTGCTAACTATAATAGCTTTTCTCTACTTACCTGTATTAGGCATCCATGTTTGAAATGATTCGTTCATAGAAGATAGATCACTCATTGAATTAGATAAATAAATATAAAATTTTAACTCAATTTGATTTTTAATTATAAGCGGAGTAAATAATTCCTTAAATGCATTTCCATCAATTTCACAACCCATTAAATAAATAAACGATAATTTCTTTAATACTTTACATTCACTTATATACTCGATTATTTCCTTAAATATATTGAATTTGTTAGGCAAAAATTCTATTTTAAATTCGATCAAAGATGTAACAAAAAATGGCGTAACTAGATCGATATGATCCTGTTGATTTATTTCATCATCCAAAGCTGAAAAAGTAATATATAATTGTTTTAAATTTGGAAACATATAAAAAATGAAATAGACATCATTTAAATGACGAATAGTAATCGCTAGTGTTTCAATGTTTGTGTTTGGTGTTAACATTGATAATGCCCAATGATTAAAACACAGCGTATAATCTCTTAAATCACACTTTTTTAATGTTGTTGCTGTTGAATAAGAAGAAGATAACAACAATTGTTTAAATAATAAAATCGAATAACAAGAATAATTTGTATGGACAGTTATTTTCAAATCAATTAAATTTAAAAAATGACACTAAAAAATTTTAAGAAATCTTTTATTCTAACTTAATGCACGGTATACAAGAAGTCTTTGGCAAGACAGCTCTAATGGGACTAAAATGTAACTTTCCTCAGTATGAGTCGTTAGTATACTTTTTTCTAATATTATTAAAGTTTTAAGATACTATCAGTTTTAATAACAAAGGTACGTTCAATTACTGTTCCATCTTAGTTTACAGGGTTTTATAATGAAGTTCTAACTATTACTGTGAAGGATACACTTACCAAAAATGCATCTCCCGATAATAAGACCTGTTCGTGAATACATACGATATGCACGCTTCCAACCTGTCAAGTTAATCTGTGAATGCTATACCATAATGAAAGACGAATTTCTGAAAGATATTTGTTACTCTAACATTAGACTAACAGACAGGGCTGGTTCTAGCGGGGGCGAGGATACCCCCCCCCAATAATCGAATTCTTTTCTTTTTTCACAAAAGTGTAGGTTTTAAATGTTTCCGTTGATTTTCATTTTTTGATGAAAATCTCAGTAATTCTTCGACGCCAAAATTCAAAAAAAATCAGAGTGATCGAATAAAATAAAAAACTACATCATTCGACTCGATTTTCAACTCTGATTCCGAATATGATATTTTTGTTGCGTGAAAGTTGAGTTCTGATGGATAAAATTGCGAATTAGGATCAGAATTTCGATTTTTTTCCACTAAAGTAGACTTTTCTCAACGAGCAAAAAGGAATTTTAAGAAAAGCTCTTTGTTGTTTTGAAGAGGAGCATCCAGGGAATCTAACGCTATGTGAGTTGAGGCTCCATGACCCTCCACAAAAAACTAGATAGGTTTGCAAAAATGCGTGTTTTTTTGGTCATTTTTTTCTTCCCTGCCGCAGAGAGGTTAAGGTCAAAAATAATTTTCAGATCACATTCTGATTCAGTTTTCAACGCTGAATAAGAATATGGATGTCAGAATTCTCCAAATCGTAACCGGATTTGGAAAATCCAATTTTCGAAAAAGCGATGAATAGTCCTAGTATTTCGGTGATAGCTCGGTGAGGAAAGGGCTTCTGGGGTCGAGAACAGATATCCGGAATCGCCGTTCGATTCTCTATCGGATGATGTATAGAAAAAGAAAGCTATTTTGTTTGCTCGAACTATGCTTTCCGTGCATCTTATAAATATCCGAAAACTGCCTAAATTTCAGAAAATTTTCGAGTTTTAATGAAATCATCCTGACGTCAATGTAACTGACAGCACCTCGTCCTCAAGTTGAGTACGGGGTAGCTTTCGTTCTCGTTGGAAAGATACCGAATTTCAACGACATCTTTGTTTAGGTATGTTTCATGGATATCGTTGTAACTATTAAGAAATTTATTGAAGTCTTTTTAAAAATCGCCAATCATAGTGCTGGAATGATGATAAGGGAAAAGAATGCAAAATACAGGGACCAATCTTCACAACAAATTGCGACTCCTCTTTATATTGGAGTTAAGTATACCTGTTTCACATAATTGAGTATTTTAAGAAAATGATTATCTTCAACTCACCTGTTGAAAAATGTCGTTCAGATCATCACCATTTCGAATGTTATAAAGATATAAAACTGTTACATGTTGAAAAAAACACCGTATTCTACTATCAGTGTTAATAGCAGCAAGATGTAATTTAATCTGATTATGTGAATCCAATTCATTAATAGACAGTGAATCAGCATGTATATAGTTGCAGTCGTCGACAATTTTAGGTAAAATCTTGTAATAAATTGAATGAATTATCAATAGTGAAACATTATATACGTGAAATTTTTGTAAATATTTTCGTTCTAATAATAATAAATTTAAACGTTGATTTAAATTAAAAAAAGCGAATATGACCTCTCCCGATTTTAAATACCGAAAACTTTGTAGCAAAGGTAATTCTGGTAGATCGTTAAAAGAGGAAGTACAAGACATTTTTGGTTTTGTTTTGCTAAAATAAATGTTATAAGTTACTGCCAAAAAGACGTAACCTTTAATATGTTCTCTTGTCTACATGAGACTTGAAGAGAGTGATTTTATGAAAAATCAGTTAAGAGAAAATTCTCTAGTCATTTCTGTTTTTCACTAAGTGGCTTATTGGTCTGTCTACAAAACGATATTCTGCTCTTTCCCTTCTAATTATTGCTCTATAAAGTCGAAGAAAAACGTTAAAAAAAATTTTCTCACATTTTAGACTGAACTGTTGATAAATTGGCGTATAGACTCAGTTAATGTTTCCTGTATAAAGATCTCAAAAATAAAACTGCACAGAAGTGAGAAATGCATGAGAGGTTAATGTTATAACAATTGTGAGTATCCTCGGTGTAAGATCGCTTTGCCGTCAGTAACTCTCAGGATGTAGCGACGATCAGCTCGGTTCTGTTTGACACACGGAGGATTGGGGCTCAGCCATTTCGCCTCATTCACAGAATATTAGATTGGCTCTAATAACGAACTGATCCTAGCGATAATATCTACGGATATACATTCTCTGAAAGTCCAAGCGTGAATGTTTTCTTCACATATGGCAAACGTTACCTTA